TTCCAACTTTCCCACACAGGGCACTGCTGAAACTTGTCAGTGAGGTTTAAATCCAGAAAAATCAAAGGTGACAATAAAAGTTGTAATCGTTTGCAAATAAGCAAATATGGGCTATGGAAAGGGTGGATGAGAGGTGAGGAGAAAGAAGAGAATTGGGAAGAAAAGGAAAATGAAAATAAAGAGAGCAACAAATTATTGAAATGAAGTCCCTTTCAGCAGGACCCTATGTAAATTTTTTCCTTTTGTTTTTCAAAACCCACCTTAACAAAACAAATGAACAAAACCAGGTAGTTGAACATGTTCCAATCTTTTACAGCGACCAAGAGAAAGATGGAAAGGAACATGAAGAGAAACCAAGAAATCAGCTTCTCAGGGTGTGAACTTCAAAAGCCAAAAACTCAGTGGCATGAAATGTGTATTCAAGCAAAGCTCTCACATGAGACAGACTACCCCAGAGTCCCCCAGGAGATCAAATGACATTTAGGAAACACGCTTCATTTGGAGCTTGCCCCGAACAACACCCAAATCCAACTTCACAGTTGCTCTTTCCTTCCCAACAAAAGGGGAGGACTGAATTATGGTAATGAACCTGCTAAAGTGGTACCACGAACAGATCCTTAAAAAAAAAGTGAAGGGACCTATTTGACCCTTGCGACAGCCTTAAGGCGCCATCTGCAGTTCTTAGCTAAGACTGCAATAAACCCAAAGTTCGGCTAGCTTGTTAGAACACCTACCGGTAAAGAAAAGAGAAAACAAAGAAATACTAAATTCAAGTCAGGGAGTCCTAAAAAGCCTCCTGGGTCTTAGAGTAGATGCAAGCATAGCTTTAAGACACAGTGCCTAGAAAAAGATCTAAGGGCCTTAGTTGGCTATAAGCTCAATGAGCAACCAAAAAAAGCTAATAAATTCTTAGACTGCTTGATTTAAAGGATGATATATTGTCCAGACCATGAGAACTTAATAGCCCCACAGTACTCCGTTCTGTCTGAACACATCTGAGAATTGCATTTATTCTGGGCACAATTTAAGAGCAATATTGACAAGACCTATAAAAATGTTCATACCCTTTGACCCAGTAATCCCACCCATGGGAATTTATTCTGAAATAATTCAAGAGAATAGATGAATTAGAAACATGAAGATATCGATGCAGCATTCTTTATAACAACAAAAATATATATATTAATAGCCTAAATGTCTCCCAAAAAGGGAATATTATACAGCATTAAAATATAATGATATGCTATTTGAAAAAATAGAACAAGAAACATAGAATGAGGGGCGCCTGGGTGGCTCAGTTGGCTAAGCGACTGCCTTCGGCTCAGGTCATGATCCTGGAGTCCCGGGATCGAGTCCCGCATCGGGCTCCCTGCTCGGCAGGGAGTCTGCTTCTCCCTCTGACCCTCATGATCTCTCTATCTCATTCTCTCTCTCAAATAAATAAATAAAATCTTAAAAAAAAAAAAAAGAAACATAGAATGATAATGCATGCTACAATATGGATGAATCTTGAAAACACTATGCTAAGTGGGAAAAAAAAGCCAGACACAAAAGGAGACATTGTATGATTCCATTTGTATAACATGTCCAGTATAGGCAAATCTATAGAGACAGAAAGTCTTAGTGGTTGCTAGGGGCTAGGGGAGGGGAGAACAGAGAGTGATCACTAATGGGTACGGGGTTTGTTTTGGGGAAGGCAAAAACGTCTGGAATTAGATAGTGGTGATGGTTGCACAACCTTATGAATATACTAAAAACCACTAAACTGTATACATTAAAAGGATGAATATTGTGGTATGTGAATTACATCTCAATTAAATATATGTATGTCTTCACAGTAATATATATACACACATATATATGCCTTCATAAGAATATATAAAATGCGTGTGACTCAGTGAGGGGGAAAAAGCCATACCAAATTGTGTCCTTGATATGATTCAATTATGTAAAAATTAATTATGTACATTTATGGATGAGGACTAGAATAGAACTTGAATACATGAAAACAGTTTAATGTAGGTGAATTTTTTTGTGGGGGGGTGGCCTTAATATGGTTCTTCAAGCAACTGAATATTTTATTTCCTTCCCAAGACAGTGTCCACAAGAGGGCAGACAGAAGATGACAAAACAGAACCATTTAGCACAAGCCTCAGCTAAAAAGTTAAGAACCCAGCATCCAGTGTGGAAAGCAATATCTAAGGTCATCTAAGTCTGGCTTCCTCATATTACGAAGGAAAAACTGAGGCTCAGAGTGGTAAAGCAGTAGGCTTTTCCCACAAGAGGTGGAGGGAGCAGCCCATCACCTCACTTCTCCGTCTCTTTCTACTAAACTACAGCGCTTCCGCAAACAAGGCAATGTTTTAGCTGGAAAAGGGAAGATTTAGAGGGATAGGAGATGAAGGGCAGGTTCTTATCAGGAAAGGGTTTTTTGTTGGGTTTTGTTCTTTGTAACAAGAGATGGCAGATCTAGAAAGAAATTACAGGGAAGCAAATTTCAGTCCAATAAAAGAACTTAACAATTAAGGATGCCCAAAAGGTGAAACAGGGAGCAGATTTCCAACTGAAGCGAAAGCTGAAATGGAAATCTTTGAGGAAAGCTGTTCTCAAGATTCTGCACTGAACGAGCACTTGGCATAGAGGCCTTCTCAATTCCTTTCCAACTCTTTAAAGGGTCTATACATTTTTTTATTTGTGGGAATGGGAGAATATGAAATCATTGAATTTCGTTAAATCTGCTCAGGTAGAGAATAAGGGAGACCTCACACTTGCTAATGTCTTAGGTTTATATAAATATGTAATTATTTTATAATGAATTTCTACTTTCTGCTGATTTTTGCTATGTCAGGTGCTTTGGGAAGCACATCCCCAGAAAGGTCTCTTAGTGATTATAATGTCCCAGCGTGGTGGCAAAAGCAGAATTCCCTTCCAGAAGTTCTCAAGTCACATGATTTTGTACCATTTCTTTCTTTTCAAAAAATGGCTGGGCTACACCATTGGCTATTAGGCATATGAACAGATGTCCCCGGAGTCGGGGGAGGGGAGAGGCGCAGGCAGTTTAATCCTGGTAAGGACTCAATTTCAGTACCTGTTCACAGGCCAGGACAAGAACGAAGGTGAAATCCAAATATGGTTTAACCAGTCTTTCCTACTAAGAGGTAAACATTTTTTGACCTCTTTCTCACTTCTCACCTAGTGCCCCAGCCCATGCCCACAAAAATTTCTCCTGTGCAAAACAAATCCACACTAAAGTGACCAGTGTGGCCTGGCTAAGAGTTGGGTGTGAGACCACCATACTGTAGCACCTCAGAGAGTGTAACTACCTCTCTGTTCTGCATAGAAGGACTGAGACTCCAGATGTTGGGGAATAGCCTCCCTAATCGAAATGAATCTGCCAAAGGATGACAAGAGATTTCTGCAAGGAGAATCTGCAGGTGAAAAGGGCCATCTTCCTAGCAGTTCCCCAGCTTCTTCCCAGAGATGCATCTTACCCTCAGAGTTGTCTCATTCTGAGGACTTCTGCTATCACAACTGGCCCAGATGAGCTCTACCCCATTTTACAACTATAGCCTAAGAACAGCCAAACCTAAACCACTTCCCTGGTTCCCCATAAACAGCTAAAAAAAGGCTGGAATTTTTCTTAATTATAAAACAAGAGAGAGGGACGCCTGAGTGGCTCAGTCGGTTAAGCGACTGCCTTCAGCTCAGGTCATGATCCCAGGGTCCTGGGATCGAGTCCCGCATCCGGCCTGGAGTAGGCCTGGAGCCTACTTCATTAAAAAAAAAAAAAAAAAAAAAAAGTACAAATTAGTATCTCAGTTTTTAGGGGAAACTAAGGCTCTCAGAGACTAAAGAAACCCGAAATCACAAACAGCTAGAAAATCATGGAACCAGATTCAAATCCTAATACTAATCCTTCTGATCATAAAACCTAGGCTTAAAGTCAAAAGACAAATCATAGACTGGGGGAAAATATCTATAACGCCTATGACAAAGGGTTAAGTTCCTAACAAGCAAGGATACCAACAAAATAGATTTCATAAAGACAAGCAGAAACATAATTTTTTTTTTTAAAGATTTTATTTATTTATTTGACAGAGAGACACAGCGAGAGAGGGAACACAAGCAGGGGGAGTGGGAGAGGGAGAAGCAGGCTTCCCGCTGAGCAGGGAGCCCGATGCGGGACTCGATCCCAGAACCCTGGGATCATGACCTGAGCCGAAGGCAGACGCTTAACAACTGAGCCACCCAGGCACCCCAGAAACATAATTTTTTTTTAAAAAAGGGAGATAATACATTCAGGCATTCACGAAGAAGAAATGCAAGTACCCAAGAAAAAAAAATTTTTTTTTTTTTTTTAAGATTTTATTTATTTATTCATGAGAGACAGAGAGAAAGAGGCAGAGGGAGAAGCAGGCTCCCAAGGAGCAGGGAGCCCGATGTGGGACTCGATCCCAGGACCCTGGGATCACGACCTGAGCCGAAGGCAGACGCTTAACCATCTGAGCCACCCAGGTGCCCACCCGAGAAAAATTTGAAAAGATGCCGAACTTTACTGTGAGTCAGGGAAAGGCAAATTAAAGTCATCAAATACTATTCCTTACCTATCATCTTGGCAAAAATTTAAGAGTGGTAATGTCCATTCCAGTACAAGGAAAGGGCCAGTTTCTTACATTGCTGGTGGAAGTGTAAATTGCTATAATCTTTTCCAGAAGTAACCTGATACAGTATCAATGAAAATTTAAAATATACATTCTGGGGGGGTGCCTGGATGGCTCAGTCGGTTAAGCATCTGACCGGCTCAGGTCATGATCTCAGGGTCCTGGGATTGAGCCCCAAGTCAGCACTCAGCAGGAAGTCTGCTTGTCCCTCTGCCTCTCCCCCTGCTCATGCTCTCTCTCTCTCAAATGAATAAATAAAACTTTAAAAATAAAAATAAAATAAAATACACATTATGTTTATTGGAATCTAGCATCAAAAAAACAAAAAGCACTGATACACACATTTAAAGATATTTATTGTAGCATTGCTCCGTTGAAACAACAGAAACTGCTCATCGATAGTTCCTATTTGAATAAATTAACATATAGCTATATTTTTGTATCAAAAGCTCATAACAAAATTTGAGAACAGTATAATAATTTTCCAAATCAAGTAAAGCCCTTAATCATTCTTTTGTCTCTTTTTCCTTATAGACTATTTTTAATATATTTACATTTTGCAGAAATAGTACTACATCTCATGTTAATAAGTTACTAATCAATAGCCTATGAAAATGCCTCATTAAAATTCCATGTGATAATCTGACAAATTGTGTTTTTCAGAAGAAGCGTATATCAATTTTTGGCAACTTTAAAAAGACGTAAAAGTTAATTTGGTCTTAAAATCATGGTATAAAAATTCATTGGCAAAAATTTTTTAATTTTTTTAATACATGAATACAAAGAAAAAAATCTACAAATTTCGTTCTTCTCCACTGATAAGACCATATTTTGTTTTAATCTGCAAGGAATACTAGCCAAAATAATTCTGCTTTTTAAAAATATATATATACCACTCAGAGTTAATTTCCAGGAAAAAAAAAGAAGAAAAAAAAAGCTTGAGGGATGTACACAAACACAAAAGAAGAGCAAGAAAGCTAGAGTAAAGGTATATAATTTTAACATCATGTTTCTGTTCTCCAGTGTCCCTGTGTATCCTAGGCTGTTTCTTCCGCACTTGGCTGGTTACATAGGAACTAAATAAGACCCTGTTGAGATGCTCAAGCTGCTGGTTCCCTAGAGTTTCCCCAAAGTTCTCATAAAGGCACATGAGATATAAAATCATGAATTTTCCCATGAGTTCCCATAAAACAATGTCATCTGTCCCTTAGCCAATGTTCCAGCGCACTCTATACTTCTTCTTTTTTTTTTTTTAAGATTTTATTTATTTATTTGACAGAGAGAGGGAATACAAGCAGGGGGAGTGGCTTGAGGGAGAAGCAGGCTTCCCGGCCAGCAGGGAGCCAGATGCAGGGCTGGATCCCAGGACCCTGGGACCATGACCTGAGCCAAAGGCAGAAGCCCAACGTCTGAGCCACCCAGGTACCCCGCACTCTATACTTCTTATGACACTTAGTTCAAAACACTGAAGGAGGTGAACTTTGATATCTGTGTATGTTATATCCCCCACCAGACTGTAAGCTCCTAGGCAGCAGAGTATATAGTTCAGAGTCATACCCCAAGTTTTGGGGACACCTGAGAATTCAGCCAGTCCAACCACCCATGTAAAATCTGAGGGCTCTCTACAATACTTCATCAAGCAGAAGAGTTTGTGATGGGGGTACTACCCGCCCCCCACAGCAGCTTGTTCCTTCTTGGGAAAAGTGTAGCTCCTAGTAAAGCTCTCCTATAAACGGAATCAAGATATTTTTCTGAAATTTTAAAATTTAACCCCTCTCTTATCCCTACTGTCACAGGACAGATTGTGAAATAGTAGAACCTTCATATTTTTCCTTCAATCTCCTAACTCAGTGCTTTGCACACAGAAAGAAAGAAAGAAAGAAAGAAAAAGAAAGAAAGAAAGAAAGAAAGAAAGAAAGAAAGAAAGAAAGAAAGAAAGAAAGAAAGAAAGAAAAGGGAAAAAAAGGAAAGGAGTGAAATGAAATTGATAAACAACCTTCCTCCATCACTCATCAACGTAACAGGGTAGGGCATGGTAGTATATTCTCTAAAAGATATTTTATTGGTTTTATAATATGCCTTTCATTTCACTATCTGATTTTAAGAAGAAATTGTCAGGAATACAATAATGAGAATTCAGAAATTTGCAACATAAATACATTCTTCTACCACAAAAGCTTTCTTACCCCTTTAAGTTGTTCTCATCCCCACTGCAAACAGTCAAGTTTCTTTAACGCTATTGGGATGACCCAAGTGGGCAAAGCCGGGCTGGGACAAGCTGCTTGGTTCTGCCAGAAAGAGTCCATCCCCAAGGGGAAATTTCTTCTCACCTCCAGGATCCCCTGGGCTTTCTGGGCTGACTCAGGACTTCATATGCAGCCTGAATCTCCAGGAAATGCCTCTGAGCCTCCTCGGTTCGGTGCCGGTTGTGGTCAGGGTGCCAGATCTTCACTAGCTGCCGGTATCTTTGATGTATTTCTTCATTTGTTGCCCCCTCTGAGAGACTCAAAACCTTAGGGAAACAGAAGCTGACAAATTAGAATTCCGTAAATTTCAGAGCACCTGGGCCTCTCCTGCTTGCTTGCTAAAGGAGGCTGTGCTATCCCTGGAGTTGGCTTCTACTTGTCTGAGAGAAAGACCAAGAGCCTCAGATTAGAATCCAGCCTTTGGAAACATGGGCTAGCCTGGATCTCATGGCAAGAACGAAGATTTGCCTTGAATCACAGCTGCCCATTTTCTAACCTGGGACTTCACATCCCTGACAAGATCTCTTCCTTGCAAGAGAAATAAGTACATATTATCCACCAAAGACATGTACAAGAATGTTCACAGCAACTTGATCAGAATGGTCCCAAACTGGAACTAACCCAAATGTTCATTAACAGTAGAGTGGATAGATAATGTGTAGTATATTCATACAATGGGATACTATACAACAATGGAAACAATTTATATTTGTAACAGTATTTATTCATACTGCATGCAACAGTATGAATAAATCTCACAAACATAATGTTGAATGAAAGAAGTCGGACGGGGTGCCTGGGTGGCTCAGTCATTAAGCATCTGCCTTCGGCTCAGGTCATGATCCCAGGGTCCTGGGATCGAGCCCCGTATTGGGCTCCCTGCTCAGCAGGAGGCCTGCTTCTCCCTCTCCCATTCCCCCTGCTTGTATTCCCTCTCTCGCTGTATAAATAAATAAATAAATAAAATCTCTGTCAAATAAATAAATAAAATCTTTTTTAAAAATTAAATAAATAAATATAAAGAAAGAAGTCGGACATGGGGTGTCTAGCTGGCTCAGTCGGTACAGCATGTGACTCTTGATCTCAGGGTTGTGAGTTCAAGTCCCATGTTAGGAATGGAGACTACTTTTTTTTTTTGAAAGATTTTATTTATTTATTTGACAGAGAGAGGCACAGAGAGAGAGGGAACACAAGCAGGGGAAGTGGGAGAGGGAGAAGCAGGCTTCCCGCCAAGCAGGGAGCCCAACCTGGGGCTCGATCCCAGAACCCTGAGATCATGACCTGAGCCGAAGGCAGACGCCCAACGACTGAGCCACCCAGGCACCCTGACGAATGGAGACTACCTTTAAAAAATAAACATAAATAAAATATAAAATATAAATAAATTAAATTTTAAAAGAAAGAAGTCAGACATAAAAGAGTACATACTGAATGATTCCATTTATCTGAAGTTCAAGAATGGGCAAAACTAATCTATGGTAACAGAAGTCAGAATAGAGGGATGCAAGGGAACCTTCTTAGTGCTGGATATATCCTATACTTTGATATGAGTGGTCGTTACATAGATGTATACATAAAACTTATACACTTTATATGTATCTCAATAAAAAGTAAACAACATATATGTATCCTTTTCCCACTCACTATTAGAGCCTCTGTACCTTCACCCATTGCACACAGAAGCCCAAAGAAATCAGGACACTCTTCTAGGGCCCGGCCCAGCAGACATGAAAACAGTACTTCCACGGAAGGGGGCATCATTTCCAATAAAGCTTAGCTTAACTCCCAGAGCTGTCCCAGCCAGGAATGAGAGAGAACAAAGCCTTACCTGGTAAGCCAGCTGACGCTTCTCTTCCTGAAAACTGCTAACAAACTCATAGAGCTTCTCCCACTCCTGGAAGTAGCCGCTGCTGAAGCCAGGATCCCCCACCAGCAGCCTCCAGACCCGGTAAGGCAGAAGGAGGACAGACTCCGTGAGGGGGCCAAGGAGGGGGAAGAAGCTGAACCAACTCAGGAAGGAGCCAAGGGTTTCTGCCACATAGCTGAGGGTGGCTGCTGTGTTGCAAAAGGCGCTGTAGGCTAGTGGGCCTGTGAAAGCCAGGTAAGCCAAGCCCAGACGATAGAGCCGAACACTAAGCGTCTCTGACCCAACTGAAGCTTTATAGCGGCGATGCTTCTGGGCTGTAATGCTGGCAGCCAAGCTAATGGGCAGGATGGCTATGGGGCGGCCATAGAAGAGAGGGGAAGTAAGAAATGCTGCCCCTAGAGTATTCTTAAAGTCTGAGGTCTGGTTGCCAACAGCAGCCACCAGCAAGACCCCTAAGCCAACTGCCAGTGGGAGGCCCAAAATATAGAAGTTGGCCATGAAAGAAAGGCTAATGAGAGCCACCAGGCCAAAATAGATGCCCACTATCATCTGGGCGACAAAGCGAATAAGACTCAGAGGGGGTGTCCTCCCTCCGGAGCTCTGCCTCTGCCGCTCGGTTCTGTTGGCCTGAGCTACAAAGCTTGGGAGCTTCCAGAATTCCCAGAGCCAGCCGAGCCCACCCCCTCCCAGGGTAAGCATCCAGAGCAGTGCATGACTGTCCCGCCCAAGGTATAGGTGGTGGAGCCCAGCAGGGCCCCCTACAGCCCAGAGGGCATAGGTCACCAAGAGCCCCTTGGCCATCCTCTAAGGAAAAGGTGTCAGATCAAGTTCAGTGGCACCTGACATTGCCCAGAATGCAGAAATCTGGGGTCATCTGTGAGAATCATGGCTGTTATGGTCCCAGAGTTATCCTTAGACCCTAAGAGATGGAAAAAAGCAGTGGTAAGACTATATCCAGGTCCCAACCCAGCAAACCATTTCTCCTTCCAACAATAATCAAGTGCAGATCTTCCTGAGTGTCCCTGAAATGCAGATTCTCCCATACCCTTTGATCTGGCACCTCATTTCTGTTTTTTTACAAGCATAGCCACTCCAAATTTAGGAGAGAAAAATGTTTTTAAATACTTTCAGTTGATGTAGAACTCAGCAGACGGACAGAAAAGCAGCAGCTTAAGTTTCAGACCACTGATTCCTGGAATGACTTATGGGGGGAGTGGAGCGAACAGGAGTGAATAGAATGCCCTTCTAAAGTTTCTACACATTTTGAAAGTCCCCTGCCCCTCCCAACGCTCCTCAAGTTCACCCTATGGCTGCCCTCAGACACATGGCCAAGGTTTCAGCCCCTCTCCAGCCTTCCCATCTCTCCAAACCACGCAATCTTCCCACAAGTCACACTTGAAAGAGGGTCCTGAGGTCCCTCCACTTAAACAGCTCTGGAAAACTAACATTTTGACCTAGACCCTGGCACCCCGCAAAGGCGGACTTGGAGTCTCTACAAAGAGGCCTGATGAACACCCAGAACACCAAACCAGATGCCAACGTGTGCCTGCCAGTGTCTCCCCGCTACGTAGAGTGGGCCTCAAGACCACCAGCCAGTTACCTGCTAGTCCCAGGGTGGGCGGCCGTACCTGGGTACTCCGGCTCCCAGACCCCGTCAGACCAGTCATTTCCTTTGACTAGAAAGTCAAAATGGCCCCTCTCACTCCGCTCCCACTTGCATCCAAATGGACTTTGTCTTTCTGTGTTTGCTGTGTCACGGAAGTGGGGCCGTCCGGATCAGGCCCCTCCCTAAGCACCCCCCGCCCCTCCCCGGCCTCTTCGGGATCACCTTTCAGCCTCGGGCTCCTCTCGCCCGCCCTTTCGGTAAAACTCGGTGTAAGGCTTTCAGGGCGCATCCAGCCTCCCCGGGCTCAAAGGGGAGGGCGCAGCGCCCCACTCCGGGCCCAGCTTGCCTGCACCGCGGCACCGCCGCCACCAGGTGGCGCTGCCGCTTACGGAAGGGCGTGGCCGGGCGGGTCTCCAGACTCACCTTGTCCAGTTGCCGGGGCAGAGTAACCCAGAGCGGTTCTCTACAAACGCAGAAATAGGCCTTTGGTCGCCCCTTTCCACCCCTACAGACGAGAGGGTGACTTGTCCCTCACCTCAGGGTGCGCTCTCTTCCTACTCCGTTGTCTTCCAAGACTGCCATGGATGGCTCCATTTCCAATTCTTCTAAGGCTGACTCACCCATGCAGAGGCCTCAGAGAGGACCTCCAGCCCCCGAGTTTGCCTCATCTGCCCCACCTCCAGGCCTGCCAGTCAGGGGGATTACATCGAGACCTGAGCCTGAGACCTGAGGGGCCTCCAGATCTAGCCGGAGCCCAAGTCCGCTGTATCCTGAGGCCTACGGGCAAGAGGCAGAATCAGTAGCAAAAAGGGATATGGGGTGAGGGGCGTCCCATCGGGAGAGCAGAGCGGGAGCGAGAGCGAGGCCGCAGCACCAGAGCAGTCGGCCTTCCTCCCACCTCGATGCTGGGAAGGAGCTGGGATGCAAGATGCCTTCGCTTCAGTGCCCTGGGCTCCAATCCTCGTTCTGCTACGTGACCTTGGCTAAGTCACGCCGCTTCTGGGGCCTGTTTCCTCCTCTGTAGAGGAAAGGCTTGGATCTCCAAGGTCCCCCAGCCTTGACTTGGGGGTGCGGTGGGCCTGGTGGCCCACACGCCCGTCTCCTCCGCGTCGCGGACAGAGTGCTTCTGTTCCTCCACAGCGCCAGCCCCTCAGCCCTTATCCCGGCCCGGGGAGGGAACGCGGCTCGCCTAAGGTGCCTGAGGGCTCACGGAGGGGCCAGCGCTGGGAGGGGCCCCAAAGCGACGCTGGAGCCGCCAGCTGGGGGGCGGGGGCGGACAGGGCGCTGAATAATGAATGAGACTTAATTGGGCCCGCTCTGCCAGGCGGCGCGCTAAGCTCGGCAAACAGCTCCGGCGGCGGCGGCCGCCGCTGGACAAACAAACTCGCTCCCCGCGCTGGAAGCGGGGTGGGGGAGGCAGCGGCGGAACGGGGAGGGAACGGGTAGGCCGCCTGGCCCCTGGGCCGCCGCGCGCCGCCAGCTCCGAGGCCCGAGGAACCCAGGGCTGTTGGGCGGCGCTGGCCTCCCAGAGAGTGGTGGTCGGGAACCGGGCTCAGGGTTCGATCCCTGGAAGCGAGGGCTGGGGGGGGGGGGGGGGGGGGAGAGAAGCGGATTGTGCGGTGGGAGCCAGGGGCCCAAGGGCGACAGGAGTGCGCGGAAAAGATGGAGAAATGAGTGGCGGGCGGAGGAGAGAGGGAGAAATGAGGGAAGAAAAAGCGCACCGGGGGAGGGGCTGTCGGGGGGGGGCGGGAGAAGAGCAGTTACCGAGAGGAAAGGGAAGACTGATGGAGGAACAAGAGAAGGGAGGCGCGAGGGGCCGGGAGAAGAAGAATTGGAGAAGAGTCAAGGAGAGGGATGGGAGGTGACCGGAATGAGAACGAGAGGGCGGCGGGGCGGGCAGGAGGCGCCCCTGCCTCCGCCTCGCCCCGCCGCGCTCCCGCCCTAGCGCTCTCTCCAGCCGCCCGCACTCACTTTGTCACAATTACGGGGCCGTCACTCGGCCCGGATTGTTTTCCCCAAATTGTTGTTCTATAAACTGGCGCGGGTGGGAAGTGGGGGGGTCTGACAAGCTGAAGCGGGAGGGGAGGGTCTGAACCGCGGTGGCGGAGTATCTACCCACAAGCGGACCGGGGCGGGCAGGTGAATCCAGCGACCCACGCGGGGACTCTGGTCGGTGCCCCAGCCTCGCTGCAGGTCCCGCTTTTTTAACCTTCCTGGCCCTTCTCAGCCTCGGCTGCCTCGGTTTCCCCAACAGAGGACTGTGAGGATTGGAGGGCAGGGGCCGCCGCGGCAGTTGTATGTGGGGCCCAAACTTCCCCGCTCGCCCATTCTCTTTTGTTCTTGATACCCCGGCCACAGCGGGAGGGGGTCTATCCCAGCTCAGCCGTCCCCAGAGCGCCCCTCGGATGCCTGCTCACTCCCGCTGGATGGCCAGACTCCCACCCCCCACAGGTCTAGGCCACCCCCTGCCCCGCCCGCGCCCTCCAGCCGCTCGGTGCCCCCACGCCACCTTGTCCCTCAATTGCGCAAACATCTGTTGCGCGCCCACTGTGAGCCAGAGCCGCGCCAGCCTTCCTCCCCCCGCACCTCTCCCCCGCCACCCGCCCCTGCCGGCCCGCCCGGCCTGTCGGCTTCGTGACAGCCGCCGCCGAAGCCCAGGCCCCGCGGGAGCGGCCTGAGAGGAGCCGCCGCATGGCTGGCTCCGACACCGGCCTCCCCGGCGGCTCCAGGAGCAACGGAGGGTGGCGGCCGCTGAAGCGAGACCGGAGCCGGCCCGCAGAGTTGGCAGAGCTGGGCCGGGGAGGGGGGAGAACCCCTGCGCGGGCCTGTCTCCCCGTCTCTGAGGCCTGTCGGTCTCCTCATGCCATTGCCCTAGGGTCGGCCCGGCCGGGAGCCCGCCGGGCTCCGCGCGCCTGGGACCCGGTTGGCTCCCGTGCCCCCTCCCCCAGTCCGGGTGATTTACACGCGGGCTCGGCGCAGCGGCCGCTTCCCAATCAGGAATATCGACCCCGGGCGGGGCCCCCGGGCCGCATCGATCCCTCTAAGGCTCGGGATTTAAAAATGTCAAATTTGCCTTTTCCAGGCGGGTGGAGGGGCGGGGGAGGGGGGTGGTGGAGGTGGGGGATGGAGGAGGGCGGCTGCGGGGGTGGGGGCGGACAACGGGGCATCGACCAGGTGCTTGTGCCCTGAATGAGAAGCGACCGGGTCGTGGCTATCCTTGGGTTGCAGTCGCCTCTAGATGCGGGCAGGAAGGAAGCCTTGCTTCCTTTCCCATTCCCATGGGCCTCACCGTTGCATTGGCGTATTCCCAAACGGAGAAGCCACAGAGGAACAAAGACATCCCCCAAAATGTAGGGAGACAAATTTGGAGGAGATTCCTAAACATGGGCACAAGAAGAGGTACAGAGAGAAAGATATAGAGGCTCCAAGAGATACCCTAGCTATGAGGAAGAGCAAGGCACAGGGAAGGTGGCTGAAAGACACACTGAACAAAACCGGAGACCAGAGACCCAGAATCACCCCCCAACTCTGCCCTATAGACCCAGGAGATTCAGGACTGGGAAAGAAGTCAGGCTTGGGCGCCTGGGTGGCTCAGTTGGTTAAGCGGCTGCCTTCGGCTCAGGTCATGATCCTGGAGTCCCGGGATCGAGTCCCGCATCGGGCTCCCTGCACAGCGGGGAGTCTGCTTCTCCCTCTGACCCTCTCTCTCTCTCTCATTCTCTCTGTCTCAAATATAAATAAAATCTTTAAAAAAAAAAAAAAGAAGTCAGGCTTAACCTTTTGGTGTGTTTGAGTATGGGGGAGGACAAAGCCAGGTGAAGAAAGAGTTATTAGAGAGAGGAATCAGACTAGAATTAGCCTTATTCTCCCAAGGTTTCAACTAGTAACTGGACCTGAGATCCAAAAGATAAGGGTCCCAGGGGCCACTAGCCCAGGTTCCAAAGAGGTCTGATGGTCTGACCCCTGACTGAGATCCATGTCCTCCTCTCTGACCACCACCAGCTTGGGGAACTAAGATGTGTTGGAGAACACATCCTGTATGTGATGAAGACTGTGTATATGTAGGGGTGTGGACTATAGAAAACTCTAGTAACCACTTCCTTCCCCAGGACTCAGCAACTGGGTCTCCAGGCTTTGGAAAAAGCATCCATTACTTTCAGGAAGGTTGGGGAAGGGGTGATGTCTGGGGTGGACGTGATGGAAAGGAGCACTTGTCCAGACCAGCATCCTCACAGTTAACATCTATCCCCCCCACTCCCAGCAGCATACCTCAGCTGTCACTGTGCAGACTGCCATTTCCCACAGAACTGGAGCAAGCTGACAGCGAGTAGTGTGGGGAGGTGGTGGGGGCAGCGCAGACACGAAAGAAGAGGTTGTGGCTGATCCTTAGACACACACAACACACACCACCACCGACAAAATCAGGTCGACACATTCCTAAAACTGACCCACACTGTCACTGACTTCCACGTGTGACTCACACGCATCAATCAATCCCTGTCACACACACCATCTCTGTGTGCGCAGACATGCACAATTCCTCCCAGGTCAGGCTGAAGCGCCCAGTCCTAGGGCCTGTCTACACACTTTCTTAGACCTTAAATCGCCTAACCCAAGGAGAGGGCTTAGGTTCCCGCCCCCACTCCCCAAATTCTACAACCAGAGCCAGCTCCAACGGCTGAGAGGCCGAGCTCAAGGAAGTCAAGTACCAGGGTCGAGGCGAAGAATCGGGAGCTGACCGGTCGGTGGGGCTATTAAACACCTCCCTTATTCTCCCTCCTGCCACTGGCCTCTTTCCGGGCACGTCCACTCGCCGCTCGCCTGGCCCGCCGTCCGCCTGTCAGTCGAGTAATGAATGCGCGCTCCGGGGCCCGGGCCCCCCGGGAGTCGTTCATCACTGCCAGCCACCACCCACCTCTCGGCCGCCCGCCGGGAGGGTAAGCGGCCCAGGCGGCGAGAGCCCCTCTCCCCCCCACCTCGACCACTAATTGTCAGATTGAGATGTTGATTTGTCAGCTGGGACCTAGCGCCAAAGAATCCGCAGTAAAACCCGGACTCCTTGAACTTCCTCTCGGCTGCGTGCGGGTTCGCCCAGCCCTGGATCTTTTCTGGATTTGATGTGGACGGGTTGGATTTCACTTAGAGATGGGCAATGGGAGCGCAGTATCACTCGATTCCGATAGGAGGCGCACCAGGCTACAGACCCTCAGTTTCCCTAGGAAAGCTCATCTTGGGCGCAGTTCCACTTGTACAGACCGGAGGCCCCTAGGGCTTCGTCCCCCAGTCTCCCAGCAGGGGGCGCCTGGCCCACCACCCTCTTCTCTTCTGCAGCTAGATCCCTGCTTCCGCACTGGAAGCCCCCAAGGCAGCGGTCCCCCAGTCCGCCTTCAGGTCACGCCCGTGGCCATATCCTGCCCTCTCTCTCTTGCAGGTGCCTCCGGCCTCCCGCAGCCCTCGGTTCTCCCGCAGGAGGCGCCCCTGTTGCAGGTCCGCCCTCGCCTTGCCCTAGGCGCCTAGGCTCTAGTCCCACCCCCGCCCTCTCCCCAGCCAGGGCCCCGGAGCTCCCCTGGCGGCCGGCTGAGTGACGGGCGGCCGGTGATTATGCGGAGGGGGGAGCGGGGTGCGCCGCGGGCGGCAGCGCTGACCCTTCACATTTCCGATCCGCCGGGACCCTCATCCATCCGAAGCTGCTCTTTGTCTGGCCGCCTAATTGCCGGCGGACAGGATGGATGGCGGGACCGACAGCCGCGGAATCCCTAATAAAGGCCGCGGCCGCCGGGGAGGGAGCGCGGAAAGGAGGGGGAGCAAGAAGGAAGGGATGGAAGGAGGTGGGAGGAAGCACCCGGCCGCGGCCGCCAACTCAGAGCCGCTGCGCGCGGCTCACGCTGTAGCCAGGCCGTCCTGGGGTGCAGGACCAGGCGTCCTGGATGGACCCGGGTCCGGGCGCGGTGGATATGGGTCTTGTTAAGTGTCCTGTTTGTTGGAGAAGAGGAAAGAGCCGCGAGCAGAAAGAGCATCCTAGGGCCGACCCCGCTTAGCCTTGCCCTCGAGGCTTCCAGCTTGGCTCTGCCTCCTGGGCTCCCGGCTCTCGCCAGCTGGCGCCCCTCCCTCGGCCCCCTGCACACCCCCTCCTCTGCTCACCTGTCGGTCTCCCAGCGCGGATCCAATATCCCGGCGGAGAAATGAGGGGTCTGACAGCTGTCTGTGCGGCCGCTCGCCACATTTCATTAACTGGAGGCTGGAGCGGGAGGATGGTGGGGGCCAGTGGGGAGCAAAAGGAGGCGGAGAGGGAGGCCAGGGCGAGGAGATGCACCTGGCCAGGGGTCAAGGGCTGCGGAAGTAAGTCAGCAGCGCGATCCTGCCTGACAGACACCTTGGAAACAGTCTCTGCCCCCTCCCGGTGGGAGCCAGGAGCCTGTCCTCAGCCCAGTGGGCGCTAGCGCGGCCCTTTGAACCCCAGGCTGCACGGAGCTGCGGTGCTAGGAGGAGTGGCAGCCCTAGGGCTTGCCGACCCTCGGCGCAATGGGGCAAAATGTGCGCGGGACCTTGGGCCGAGACTGTTTTCCCACCGGTGGTGGGAAGAGAGAGGCCCTCAGCGCCACCCCCCTGCCCCGGCCAGCTTTCCTCCCTTTTGCCTCTTGAAAACAATTTTCCTCCGATTGGTTTCGTTTCCTTCTCCATCCCTATTCTCTGCCCACTCCTTTTGAAGGGCTCCTCTCCGCAGCTAACTTCCTCCGACGGTTAGCTAACAATTGAGCACCTGTTGGGTATCAGGCTCCACAGCGCAGGGGTGGGGGATGAGGGACACTGAGCCAAGGCCCTGCCCTGTTGGCCTCACTCACATAGATCTCCTCCGAGACCCGTTCAAATCTCGCTCCTCACTCCTGCCCTGCTTCTCTCCCCCTTCCACTGTCTCCATCTCCAACTCTCTTCTCCAGGGCACTGAGATCAGAACTCTAGTTCTAGGCCTGCCACTTACAGGGTGATACAAGGCAAGCCATTTCTCCTTTCTGGGCCATTGCCTCATTTGTAAAAATGGAGACGCTATATCCACCTCTCAGGGGTGCTGTGAGGATGCAGTAAGAACTTGCATATAGAAGCCCTAAAATACAGCAAACACTCAATTATATCATTTCCCTTTCCATGTTATCCCCTGTCCTCTCAGGTGGGCAAAGTTCCTTTCTCTTCATACCAGGGGTCTGGTACCAGGCAACCCAGGCTGCTTCCAGTTCTGTGTGCTCTTACATGTGGGCGCTGGAAGCCAGCGTGTGTGTGAGGGGGTGGGGGCCATACTATAAATTACCCAAAAAGTGAGGAAGGAGAGAGTGCAAGCAAACAAAAGTGCTTTCTTAGATCGTGATGTGACATCAGCCAGCTGGTCTCTCTCCTCTTACAAATGAGGAAACTGAGGCTTGTGGAGGTTCCCCTGCTAGTGACAGGGACAGGTCACACTGCTAGGATCTTTCCTCCCATGAGCCCTCTATTGCTCATCTCCTCACTCCTCTTCTTCCCTTGAGGGGGTCTGGGTCAGTGACAAGGAGTGTGGGAGAAGGAACAAAAAGAGAGAACCTTCAAGGAGCCAGGACCTTTCCACTAGACTTCATAAAATTTTAACACAAAAACTTCCTCAGAGTAGAAAGCACATATCACATGCAAATCATATGCTAATCACATGCTAATCCAAAGTCTGGTCCTCAGAACTCTGACACACACCTGGCTGTAGACTCTGGGGGAAATTCTTGGGAGACCCCTGGGTTCCAGGACAAGACAGACAAGAGATGTGTTCCACTTAGGCTCAGGTTATGGAGTTAGGATTCATTTTAGGATTGGAGAGGAGTCAAGTATATAATTTGGGATTAGGGTCAGGGGTAGTGCAGAGTCAAGGGTGGAGGTTAAGGTAGGATTCAGACTGGGCTGTCTTTTTATTTTACTTATTTATTTTTAAGTAAGTTTTATGCCCAAAGTGGGGCTTGAACTCACAACCCCAAGATCAAGAGTCACATGCTCGTCTGACTGAGCCAGCAGGTCGCCCCTGGGCTGTGCTTTTAAAGAGGGGAGTATAGGGGACTCTTTAAAGGCCTCCTTTCCCCTCCCCTCCCCCCATCAAACTCGTCCCCACCTCCACTGTCCTTGCCACGTCCTGCAGCACACCCTTCCCTGCCTACTTCCCTTCCCAACCACACCACCTCCCTGGGGCCTCCCAGTTTGGCTGCCTGGGGAGCTCTGGATAAATCGTCCCAGACCCCAGCCTGAGCCTCAGCATTTCCTCTTGAGCCCAGACACTTGGCTTCTAGCCCCAGGAGCACTGGCTGGCCTTGACCCTACCCAGGTCCCTCATCGGCCGAATGTGACAGCTGCAGGGGAAGCAATAAGGACCTGGTGAGCTGGCAGCTTCATTCCAGAGCGTGGGGAAAGAGCAACAGAACATGAATAAATTCATGGAGCTGGCCCCTCAGCTCCCTGTGAGCCAAGCCTGCTCCCCCCCCACCACACAGACCCGCTGCCGCCTGCAGCCCTGCTGGTCACCACAGCTCACAGCCTGGGCTGGGGACGGGAGGAGAAGGGACACTCCAGAGAGAAGAGGGCTGGGACCTTCAAGGGGCTGAGGTGAGGGGCTCAAAGAGAGGGCCTCGGTGAGTAGGAGAGTGGGTTGGGGAATGGGGCTGAGCAGTGAGGGCCTCTGGTCAGAGGAGGGAGGGCAAGGAAGGAGGGAGGAGGAAGGAGAAGGGTGGCAGGACCTGGGGACGATGGGGCTTGAGGATCAGGCAGCGTAGGCCAGCCTGAGCCCTGGCCTGCTCTCTCCTCTCTGATCCATCCATCATCCAGCCTGGGGGAGTAGTTCTGGAATTAGACATGCACGGGGCCGACTTGGCCCTCAGCCCCCCGAGGAAGACAAATGGCGACAAAGACCTTGAATAAAATTTGTATTTATGGTTGGAGGAGGAGGCCCCTCCCCCACTGACTGCCAATCCTTTCTCTCCCAACCCTTTCAAGCATGTAGGGGCCTCCCTCCACACCAGCCGAGCCTCAGCAACCTCTTCTTCCTGCACCATTATGGGCTGGGAGGTGCAGGAAAGGGGTACAGAAAACAAGATGAGGGGAATCACCTTTCACCCAATAATCATGCCCTGGTGTGCCCCATGCCCTCCATTTTGCATTATTTATTCCTATGTATTACAGTCCTGGCTTATCCTAGTCAATAAGAGGTCCTTTGCAGCTGTCCACCTCCAGGGTCTCCAAACATCTCCACTTTTGCCAGTCCTGGAGCCCCTTTTCCAAACCTCTGGCCCTAGGGTCCCTTGTGAGCAAGAAATTTCCTCCAGAGGTGCCAGACCCTAAGGAAGGATTCAGCCACTAGCTTTTTTCCTGAACTCTGACCCCTCACAGAGGGGGATCTATCAAAGCTTGTGTCCCCTCTTGGTCACTCAGAATGACAGAAACAGTCACCTCTCACAGGAGGGTGCCCAGCATTTAATCTGCATTTTAGTTGTGTTAATTTGCATAACCAACTTCAAATCCCTCCCTCAAACATTTACTATGTGGGATCCAACTTCTTTGGGTTGCCATCTAACCACAAATTTTTGGGAAGGGGAAAGAGGCAGAGATGCTGGAACTGGACAATGTCTGGGACTTGGGCAGGAGTGGTGCTGGGCTGGGCTGGGCAGGCAGGACAAGTGGGAGACTACAGCTGCTTTCTGACTCTTTCTCCCCAGTAGATTCTCTACTTTTCAGTCCTAAGATAGGAGAGATGGCATTCATGGGGCCCCACATTTAGGGGCTAAGAGGAAGCCAAATACAAAAACCTCCCTTCAGACAGCACACACACACACACACACAAAGACAACACACAATCCACAATCCCACTCACACAGAAGCACACATGGCCAGGGTCCCATGGCCTCGTCCACACTTGACAGCACGCTGTCACAATGCACAGACCCAGAGCCTACCACTTTGTTGGAAGAACCGCCCCGCCCCCGCATCTTCCCCACAGTTGATATGTCACATTGGAGTCCGAACACGGACCTGGGTGTCTCTCTGCAGCGCGCCATTTACATTTCTCTCTCAATCTGTCAACCTGTCTCGGCTCTTGTCTCTCTCTGTCTGTCTCTGTCTCTCCCTCTCCCGCTCTGGGCCTGTCAGACTCTTTTCGAAGCTTTGTCTCTGTCTCTGCGTCTCTATCTGGCTTTCTGTCTCTTTGATTTCTCTGTCGCTCCTTCTCTGCTTTCCTGTCGGTTTCCTGCTCACTCCCCCAGGCTGATCTGCTTTCTCTCTGGTTCCCTCACCCTCTCGGCTGCTCTGCGCCCAACACTGGGGGTCGAGGGTAGGGGTGGCTGGAAATTTGCCTTTTCCAGCTCAGACCAACATGTACTCTTTGAAGCTTTTACCATATGTTATTGGGTCACGGCACTGAGGGGCGTGGGGTGGCGAATTTCTATCTTTTTATCGCCCTTCTTGTTTGTGGGCTTTTCTTTTGGTGGGGGGGTGCTTTTTTAGCTCTGGAATCCACCTCTGTCTTCTTTCTGTGTGTGTATGTCGACCCTTTTTATCCCATATCTATTTCTGTCTTCCTCCGGGCTCTGGGAACACCAAACTCAGGGTGGGGTGAAAGTAAGCATAGGGTGGGAGCAGTGAATCCCTGCAGAATCGGCTCAGAACAGGCAGGAACCGAGAAGCTGGGGGGACGCTGGTGGGGGCCTCTGCCTGCCCCGCCCCCGTGCTTCCCACTCTGGGCGCCAGGGGTCGCTCCGCCCCGGGCCGCTTATAGAGGCTCCCGCCGCGCCGCGGCTCACACCACCCGCACTGCCGCCCGGGGAGGGAGGGGAGGAAGGTTAGGGACGCAGAGAGGGAGAGCTCTAGCTGGAGAGAAACGAGGGCTCTAGCAGGGGCTGGGGCCGCTGCTGGGGTAGAAAGGTGCGTCAGTGCTCGCCAAGAGCCAGAGCGCAAACCTACGAGGAGGTCGCGTCCGGTGGGCGCCACCCGCAGCGCCGAACCCGGGACGTCCAGAGCGCTGAGAGTAGTGCCCCGTTCCGGCCGGGAGCGATCCGTCTGGGTAGCCGGGGACCTAGGCGCCGCCATCCTGTCCGGAGAGCAGGCATCCTAAGATCTGTAAGAAACCGGCCGTCCGCGAAGCCGCTGATTTCAGGCGTCCGGGAACCTTAGACTGAACAGGAGGATAATAGAGGACCACGGGTTTTGAACCGTCGGGAGCCCCCTGGTCCAACCCACGGGGGGGACCTCCGCCTTGACGGAAGGTTGGGGGGACGGCACCTCTGAGGCGGGAGCCCGCAGGGGCGGGGGGGCCGGGCGCAGCCGTCGGGGGGGTCCCGACCCAGGCCCGAGCCCGGCCGCCGCCTCCGGGGCCCTTGGAGAGCCCCGGGCCTCCGCCGCCATTGCCCCCAAGAGTGAGGAGGATCTGCTGGCCCTGGCCGCTTCGCGGCTGAGCCGCCGCAAGCGGGTGGCGGGCGCGGCCGTCGGGGTGGCCATGGTGCTGCTGCTGCTGGTGGCCATTCCGCTGCTGGTGCACAGCTCCCGCGGGCCGGCGCACTATGAGATGCTGGGTCGCTGCCGCATGGTATGCGACCCACACGGGCCGCGAGGCCCTGGACCCGACGGCGCGCCCGCCTCCGCGCCTCCCTTCCCTCCGGGCGCCAAGGGAGAGGTGGGCCGGCGCGGGAAGGCAGGTCTGCGAGGGCCCCCGGGACCCCCAGGTCCCAGAGGGCCCCCAGGAGAGCCGGGCAGGCCGGGTCCACCGGGTCCTCCCGGCCCAGGCCCTGGCGGGGTGGCACCCCCTGCCGGCTACGTGCCTCGCATTGCCTTCTACGCGGGTCTGCGGCGGCCACACGAAGGTTACGAGGTGTTGCGCTTCGACGACGTGGTGACCAATGTGGGGAACGCTTACGAGGCGGCCAGCGGCAAGTTCACCTGCCCCATGCCAGGTGTCTACTTCTTCGCTTACCATGTGCTCATGCGCGGCGGTGACGGCACCAGCATGTGGGCCGACCTGATGAAGAATGGACAGGTGAGGTGCCCCTCCCCCACCCAGGCCCAGAGCCGACCCGGTAGCTTTCTAAATCTCCCTGCACTCATTACACCCGAGGCCTGCATTCGAACCCCTCTCCCAACAGCGTCACTGAGTCCAGAAACGCCTGGCTGCCAAGAACTTATAAATTGCTTCATTTAGCCGAAGAGGAAGGGGGGCCAGAGAAAGGAAATGACCTGCCCAGGGTCTCACTGAGCATTAGGAATGGTGTCAGACTCAGAACTCAGGACTCAAAGCTTAATGTCTCTACAGCTGCTAACCTCACACTCCAACTACAGGCAGCCCTACACCAAAACTTCTTTGGTGTCTCACCCTGCCAGCTAGCATCTTTTCTCGTCCTGTCTTGGGCCACCCTCTCTTCTGAGGCAGCCCATCTTGCTTTCGGGTTTCCCAGCCTCACGGTGGGTGAGTTACCTGGAGTCTGGCTCCTTCGAATTAGAATGGAATCCAGGTCTCTGGCAATGAGCAGTCGGCAGCTGTTCTCGTGTGGAGGCATTCAGCTTGAATTTTCGAGTAAAAGGTAAAAAAGAAAGACAACACTCGCCCAGGGCCTGCGACCGATTCTAGAGCTGGCCTTACCCTGAGCTAATACTGACTCGGTAGGCAGGGGTGGAAATCGTGTGGCAGTTCACGTGTCAGCCAGGCGGCATGATGAAAGGGATTTGGAGGGGGAAAGAGGCAAAGGACAGATAAAGCAGAAGCTTTGGACCCCGGCCTGGTTCTGTAGGCCCCACATCTTCCCTGGCAACCTCTGGCCTCCAGGTTCTGCTCCTCCCTGTCCCTGTGGTCAGAGTTGGAGTCACTGCCCCCTTGGCTTGGGAGAATAGCTCCAAGGACTCAGCTGGAGCACGGGGACACGCAGAGAGGGAAGGAGAGGCCGCAGGGGTGGGGGTTGGAGGAGGCGCCTGGGCCCCACAAGCCGCAGGGGGTACGATTGGGGCTAAGCAGTGACCTCTGAATGCCCTGCGCCGTGGGGTGGTGTTGACCGTGGCGCCTCAGGCCTGCTGGTCCTGGAGGTCCGAACCCCAGTCCTGCTATGGCTGCAGCACCCTCCCGCTCCAGGACTAGTAGGCACTGCACTGGGGTCTCCTCCCAGCAGGGCTGCCCAGGAATCCAAGGAAAAAGAAAGTGTATGCGTGTCTGTATGGGAGTGAGAGCTGTATGTGTGTAAGGGAATGAGAGTGTGTGTGCGTGATGTGAGTGTGTCTGTGGGTGCGGGGTACGAAGGTGTGATAACAGAGCAGTGTCTATCTGCATGTGTGGCACTGAGTAGGTGTGTGTGGTCTATGCAGGGTGTCTGTGAGCAGGAGGAGGGGGCGAGTGTCTATCTAGAGTGTGCCGGTTTCCGAGGGGGCGGGGGCCCCGCGGCTCCCACTCTGTATTCCTCGGCGCGGGCGCTGCGGCCCTGGGGATGGTAAATAGTGATTAGAATAATGATGAATAATTAATGAGTTAATAACCAGCCCCCGCGGGACAGGAAGAGAGGGGCTGAGGAAGGGGCTGGCAGCCCAAGGCGACCAGCAGCGAGGCCAGAGGGAGGAAGGGGTTCCCTGTTGGGGTGGAAGGCGACCCCCATGTCGTGGCGCCAGTGGGCGCTAGAAGGGGAAAGGGCACCCAGAGGCGAGAATGCATCATTGCACCTTCCGGCGGCCCCCGCCCTTGCTGGCGTGCGACAGACACACCTGTGCGCCATCACTGAGGGAAGGGGACGAAACTTTAGGAGGTCAGAGCGGGTTCAAAATCTTAGAAATTATCCTGCAGGCTAATTTTATGGTTTAAATTATAATAATAGCAAACCCTATACAGCGCTTTCTAGATGCAAAGGGCTGTTCTAAGACTTCATATGTAGTAACTCATTAAATCCGAACAACCTTATGAGGTGGGCTCCATTATTACCTCCCATCCTTTGGTTCAAACTGAGGACCAGAGAAGGCGTGAAACTTGGCGAGTGGCACAGCTAGGGAATGGCAGGGCCTGGGAAGCTCAGCGCTCTCCCGCCCTCCCCCTGTCCTCCCTAGCCCCTGCATCCCGCTCCCCTGGTGCCGCCTTCACAGGCCCAGCGCTTCTGGCCACCGCAGCTCCGCCCGGGCTCAGGGGCTTGTTCTGTTCTCCCGCGCTAGGTCCGGGCCAGCGCCATTGCTCAGGACGCGGACCAGAACTACGACTACGCCAGCAACAGCGTCATCCTGCACCTGGATGTGGGCGACGAAGTCTTCATCAAGCTGGACGGCGGGAAGGTGCACGGCGGTAACACCAACAAGTACAGCACCTTCTCGGGCTTCATCATCTACCCAGACTGAGCAGGGAGGGCCCCACCCCCCGCACCCCGCTCGCCCTTCGCCTTCGCTCCCCTCGTCACCCACCTTCGGCCGACCCCACCCAAGGCACCACCCCATCCTTTGAGAGCCTGGCGGCGGGGCGGACCTCCAGCTCCCGAGGCAGCCTTGCTGGGTGGACTCTCCACGCTCCGGGGTGGAAGTGGCTGGAGAGAGGAGGAGGCCGGGCTGAGCAGGAGCCGAGCGGCTCGGGAAGCCCCCGCTCACCCCCCGGGGTCAGAGTGCGCGCCTGTGAAAGCCGCCGGAGAGTGGCGGAGGTCGGGGCCCTCTCTAGGGCCGGGGGTGGGGCTGGGGAACAGCTTTATGGGCGGGAGCTGCAGACGGAAAGGAAGTCCTGGCGTTTGGTGACGGCGCCGTGTGTGCGGGGGGGGGGGGGGGGGGGAATGGGGGGTAGGGTGTGGGGGGAGAGCAGAAGCAGGAGGCTGTCTAGTGGGAGGAGAGGAAATGTTGGGCTGGCGCTTGTCCCCTGCCACCACAACTTGCTCTTGCCATCCTCTCCTCCCTTCATCCCCATTTTCAGGCTCCAGGCTCCAGGCTCCGGCCTAGCAGCCTTCCTGTGAACTAGAAGAACCAGTGAATTCTTCCCCAGCATTTAAAACTCATTCTGTACAGTCCCCACTTCACCCCCATCCTGCCTAGGCCCTGGGGCTACAGCTGCTGTTACCTCTTCCAATAAAGTGAAGGTGGAGAATGTGTGTGCTTCTTAACTTGGTGCCGGAGTGGGGGAGAATGGCTGACCCTTTCCCTCACTCCTCTCAAGGACTCTGGCCCTACCACTCTCTGCCAGAGGCAAAGGTTTACTAATCCCTGGCAAGGCCTGTCTGCCGGGGGAGGGAAGAGGAGGGGAGTAGTCCAGGGCTTCTACTCTGACATGGAAAGGGAGGCGTACCAGCTTCAGGAGAGCTCTGAGGCCTCGTAGTGTAGGGAGACACCAGCCAGAATGGCACTAACACGGGGGGAGTCCAGAGATATGGGTCTGGTGCTTCTGCTCTCTGCCTGATGCAGGGGGAGTTGTAAGAGGAGGAGCTCTAGGGAAGGAGGGAGTTGTTGATGGCTCCTGGGAGGGGCACTGATCTCAAAATGCAAGAAGAGCAGTCCGAAAAGGTCCAGATTTGCCACCCCCCCACTCCCCCAATTCACACACACACTCCTAGAGCTTGCTGAGGGGCAGGCTGGGCAGGAGCGGGATGTCTCCGGGGCAGCTTCTAGGTGAGGCGGCCTGGGCCAGCCTGAGAGCCCGGGGCCTGCCTCTAAGCTGGAGGACACTGCCACCGTGTGGGCAATTGGAGAGCAACAGCTGTAGCGGGCCTAGATCAGCCGGCGGAAACAGGCACTCGGACACTTGAGAAACTTTATTGAAGGGTACAGTATGGGCTCCCACTCTCATGGGGCGGACAATAAATAAGGGCTAAAAGGAAGGAGCAAGGCAGGGCAGGAGGTGGATGCATCATGACAGAGAGTCCTGTGGGGCAGCAGAACCAACTGGAGTAAAACACTGGAGAGAGAGGGGACTGTCACAGCCCGGCCATCCTTGAACTGTGGCCAACCCTTCCCCACTGACCTCTGCGGAGAAGCAGAGGCTGGACCCCTGCCCCCGCCCCCTCCCCAGCACCCGCACCACCCTATTTTCCACAGGCGTGCTTGCGGGCACAGGCTGGCTGCGGATGGGGGGCTCACCAGGGCATCCTGCCATTCCAGTAATGTGGCCACAGGGTTGGTGCAAACCCGGGTGGGGCCTGAGGGTGGGGCTCGGCTGGTGTAGAAGGCACATTCATCATCCAGGCGGGCCTCATGGAAGCAGTGGATGGCAGTCAGACATGCTTTGAGGCGCTGCCTTAGGGCCAGGGTTCGAGGGGCAAGACAGCTGGGACCTGAGGGCCGAGGGCCAAAGAGACTTCAGGGCAGGCTCTGGAGTCCTATACCCCCACCATCTATGGCCCTTTCCCACTCCCCCTCCAGGGGCCAAGCCAAGTAGGAGCATGGAGCTTGAGGTGCAACTCCTTTCTTTCTGAACAAGCGTCAGGCTGGGGCAGGGTAGGTGGAGAAAAGAAAGCATGGGACCGCCTGGTGCAAGGTAGGGGCCCCGCTCCCAGTGAGAGATGAGGACCTCCTTTGTTCGCAATCCCTTCTGACCAACTCCTTACCTGCCTGGCCTCTTGGGGGCCTCAGAGACTGGAGTGAGTGAATACGGGGGCTGGCACAAAGTGGGTGTTGAGAGGAGAAGATCAGGCTGGTGGTCGCTGGAGCCCACTGACTGCAGCAGGGCTGTGGGCTGGACTCTGGACTTCTAGGTTCCAGGGAGCAGGCCTCTGATGCCCCAGGCTCTAGCCTAGGGGAGGGCTCTAGGAGTCCAGTCTGCCTGTGGGAGTCTGCCTGCAGGCGTCCGGGCTCTACCGGAGGGCAGGGCTCTGATACCTCAGGCTGTTCCTGGGCAGAGAATTCTGGTATCCCAGGCTCCCTCCTATGGCCAGATTCTGGGGGCCCTAGCTCTGCTGAAGGGCGGGGCTGAGCTATCCCCAGCTTTGCTCCTGGGCAGGGCTGTGCTTCCTCACACTTCTCTGGAAGGCAGGACTCTGCTATCCCAGAGCCCTGGAACAGTCCAGGAAGGTGTAAGGCCCCTGAATTCTGCTCTGAGGCTTTCAGGGTTCTAGAAATCTCAGCCAGCAGAGGCTGAAGTTCAACCATTTCCAGAGAGGAGCCTCCATTAAGGGGCGCACACTTGCCCCCAGCGAGCCCTTCTACCTCCTGTCGCAACAGCTGCTGCAGGATACTGATGCGCTGTGGGTAGGAGAAGAACACCCAGGGTGATGTCAAGGTGTGGGTTCAAGTCCCCACCCACACTGTCCTGCTCCCATCCTCTCCTCTCCTCCTGTGTCCCCTTCCCAGCTCTGCTACCACCAGTCAGGCCTCAAAGCTGGTGCCCACACACACCCACCTGCATCTTCAGCTCCCGGAGCTTGGGGCTTGTACTAGGGTGAGGAGTCGCCACAGGGGGGTTCCCAGGCCCCTCCTGCGCCCTCATACAACTCTCCTGGTCAAATAACCGGACTGCAATCTGCTCCTGGCACGCGGGAGGAGAGGGGCTAGGTGAGGAAGCCAGTCAGGGACAGAAAGAAGATCAGTCTGACCCCACCCGCATGAGGAAGGGATCAGGTTAGTTGAGAGGCCCTAAACTTAGATGAGGAGGGACAGCAGAGAAGCCTGGGGAGTTGGAGAGTTAGTAGCTTTTCCAGAGAGCCCACCTGCCTCAAACTGCTGGGATCTCAGCACGGAAAAAGGCTTAGATACTTACCCAGGGCAGGGCAGGCTCTTCCGGGCATGACTGAGGGGAGAGGCCACTCAAACCCTGGGCCTGGGACAGAAGGAAGACATCATAACTCTCCCTGTACCCGTCCATTCCCTTCCTCCCCCGCCCTGGCCTAGGTCAGCTACCTCCCCTGCTTTCTCTTACCTGCTGAACGCTGGGGGCCGATAGGATGGGTGTGAACTGGGTTTTGGGACGAATGGCAAGACGCCGCAAAACCGAATACGAGGTCTGGGGAGAGAGGAGGATGGCTGAGCAGGAGCAAAACCTAGACCTGGCAGGGATCCCAGCCAGACTGTTCTGCCCTCACCCAGCCCCCGGGAGTGGTGGATACAAACTGGAGCTGAGGGGCTAGGAGAGGGTACACGCTGAGCCCGTCCAAAGGGTGATGGATGGGTGATGGAAGGTGGCGCCACACGGCCAGGGGAGGGTATCAGGTGGGAGGCACTGCTGTCCTGTGGGGAGGAACAAGGTGGAAGAGTGATTGCTCCCCTCTGCACTCCCATGTCTCCTAATTACAACAGCCAGTGTGATTCTTTTAAGACCTAATCAAATCCTGTCTCTCCCTTGTTCATTGCCCCTCCCCATGGCTTTCCACTCATTTCAAGGAAAAGGCGAGGCCTCACACTGTTTTCTAAATCCTTACCCAAACTGATCTTGCCATCACCCTAACCTCACTTCCTGTTTGTCCTCCTTATTCTGCTTCAGCCTAGCTGGAGTCTCCTTTCTGCTGATCCTTAAACACACGAGGCACATTCCCGCCTCAGAACCTTTGCATCTGCAGTTCAGTTGGCCTTGAACATTCTTCCCCCAGATATCTACATGGTTCACTTTCCCAACTCCTTTTGGTTTTCACTCAAATATCATCTTCTCAATGAGATTTCCCTGACCAATCTATTTGAAATTGCAATACCCCCTCCCCAACTCCCACACCCCCTTCAGTGTCTACTTTTCTTTTCACTCATCACCACCTGACATGCTATATATTTTACATATGGGCTTGTTTGTTTATTTATTTTTGTCTCCCCCTTCTAGAATGTGAACTTATTTGCTACTGTGTATCCAGAACCTAGAGTACTGCTTGGCACACAGCAACTGGTCAATAAACACTTGTGGACTCAATGAACATCAGCTCTGTCTCACTCTCAGCATTGATCTGATGTGTGACACAAATATATACCAGACTGTGACCTCTCAGCCCCAGGCTCCAGACGGCTGGTAAGCAGAGACTAGTCCTACTCTGGAGAGGCCCTGGGCCTGTGGGGCAAACACAGACTCAATTAACATCCCAAGGGTTGTTAATCCTCAGTGCTGACCAGTGCCAGAGAATTCCCCCAAACATCTGCCCTGCCTCCCCCCATCCCAGAAGGGTCTCATCTCACCCTGGCGTAGGTTCTCTCTCTTAATGGCACCCGCTGGGCCAGACCCAGGGGGCCCCCTCCGCCTTCATCTGAGCGAGTAACACCTTCATGTTCTCCTTCAGGGAGAGAGGGAGCTGGGAGGGGACAGGAAGTTTGCTGTCGTGATAGACTGCACACCAACACCTGGCACCAGCTTGGCCACCCCCAAAGAGGCTACGCCAGGTTTGAGCCCCCACTGTACCATCAGGGCTGGGGACCCATCCAGCATCCCCTTGGAGCCCAGCACTGTCTCAGTCATCACTCACTAATCTGAACACCCCAGTGGGCTAGGGATGTGATGACGGCTCTTAGGGCTGAGGACAGAACACAGAGTGGAAGGTAAACCTTACAGGAAGTGGTGGAGGAAGGGTTGAAGTGGGGGTCACGTCACACAAGTGCACCTGGGCAACCTCTAGCCTATCAAGGTCCCTTCCTTTGCGGCTCCTTCTGATATGGCCTTCCCCTCGAGCCCCCTCCCCTCCTGCTGAGCTTTCTCCTACTTCAGGCAGCCCGTCTGCCCCTGTTTTCTCCCCTTGGCCAGACACACTCACCAGGCTGGATTG